CTACAGCCACCTCAGAGAGGAAGTCAGAAAGCTTACATCAAACTGCACAACAATGTGTGGAGAAGAAATTTTGCCCAAGGTCACAGGAGAAAATCTTACTCTTACAAAAAGCACCAGAGGGTCTTTTTGTTCATGCAGAACAGATAAAGCATCCAGTTTTCCCTAGAAATCACTCAGGAAATGAGTGAAACTTAATTGTATGGGTTATCCAGAAACAAAAATATGCAGTAAAAAAAATTCCATTCATTTATATGGTAGTTTTTTTGGTTAGGTGCACATAAACAGCAAATTACACAGTTTTGGCCTCCCTCTGTCAGTTTCTTTGCTTCAATTTCTTTTGTTTTACTAATGCCCTTGGTGACTCAAAAGGAGAAATAACAAACAGTTTCCTGTTTCATGCTTTAAAATTTCCCCCTCAGTTGTATTTTGTGTTCTTTCTGTGTTACTTTCTGAAGCTTTAAAGCTGAGGGGAAAATTGAGTAATGTTTTTTTCTGAAGTGGAAGAAGGAAATTGTTTCTTGGGCCTTAGTAACGCTTTTGCAGCTGCTGTGTACTGTTTAGTGATATTGAGTTGCATATTACAAATCAGTTACTCCTTCTCAGAGAGAACCCAAAGCCCACTTGAAAAACCGACGTGCCCACTTGTCTAGAGTGTACATAGAATACAATGAGTAGCAAAGGAGGGTCCTTCTTGTGGCTTTTATGTGCTATTTAACTTCCTCCTGACTATCCAAGTGGTATTGTCTGCAGAAGGGTAGAGAAGGAATTAACATAGGTCATAATTTTGCCATTCTTACTCATGTGGTGCAGCACCTTTGTCCACAAGTAATCTCTTACTGCTGCACAAAAATAAAGGTGGCAGACTCAAGTTGGCAGGAAGCTTAAGGGGCGCAGGCCAAAATGCAGCAATGTGACTATGACAGATATGGCAATTTCCTGCAATATCCCTGAGAAGCCTTACTGAATTAAGTTTAAGTAGCTTTGTAGTCCATTGTATTAAAAATACAAAATTTATGTATCATTGTGGGATTGTATGTAACTTCAGTGTGGTGCGGGGGGTGGGATGTGGCCAATGTAAACCCTGGGATGTGTGAAGCTTCAAAGGCCCATATTAAACAATGTGCCAGACAAGAAGGAACCTTTGTGACAAACAAAGCTGAGTGGGTTTCCTAAGAAATACTTGGAAGGAAGTAAAATCCCACCTCCAAACCCAACTGTTTAAAGCTACACCCTATGGGGAAACCCATTGTCTGCTGATTACCTGTTACCAGAATCTGAAGATCAGAGCCCTGATTTGCATAAAGGAGGGACTCTCAGATTCATGGAGGTGTCAGAGCTAACAGCTGTTATGAACTTGTAACCACAGAAAAAACCCTTGGTGGGATTTGAAGGGCTGGTCACCTGTCAGAGCCCTTGTTGGAGTTAGGGGTGATCTGGTAAGTTCATTAGCATGTGTTGAGGTTTTCTTATTGTTTTAAATATGTTTTCTCTGTAATGCTTTTACTTTAACAATAAATGTGTTTGTTTAGACAGGACTGTGTGATTACTTACAGCTTCAGGGAATTATACTGTTTATAACCTCTGAGGAGAAAGCAAAGTGGGCCTGCTTAGGCAGTCTGTCTCGCTGGGGAACTCACAGTGTAGGTAGGAAACTGTGCAGTCTGAAGAAAAAAAAAACCTGGTCAGGAGGGAGAGAGACTTGAGCCTCTGTCCAGGAGAGGTGGTGGCAGAGGAACCGGAAGCCTAGGGTACGGGTGCCTTTGCTGGCCCACAGAGGGGGAATATGGGTGCAATTGCTCTGAACTGTGACAGTGACACCCCCATAGAGGCAGATTCTCTGCAGCATTAGCATCCGCTTTGTGCAGCAGAGTTGGGGAAAGGGAGAGAGCATCCCCGGGAGCTGATTATAGCTGCCTGGCTCTTTGCTACAACCTTGAGGCAGAGAAACTTGGGAGCAGCTCTTATTTGCACAGGTTGGCCTTGGTATTCTAGGAATAACATGGAAGCTGGGGATTGCTGAAGTGCATGGTGCTCTAGGCACTGCTTCTTCCCACTCCCATCATGCCTCTCCTGGGTCCTGAGATACTCCCTGTGCAAGGGACTGCAAGGAGGGAGGTATAGAAGCAAGTTCCAATGGCTCTTTGCCTACCTGTGCTACCCCAGTTGGGCAGGGATTGCAGTACATGTAAATGGGGAGCTCATTTTCCCCTTCCCCCTCACTGAACAGCCACATGAAATCTAGCTGAGTTTAGCCCAAATTAAATTACACTAATACCGATATAAACACTCTCTGATATTGAAGAGAATCTTAAACCTATTTAGAAATATCAAACAATTGCTTATTAATCAAAGCAAGCCACAAGGGTGGGTAGGAAGCTATGTAAAATGTCCTAGAAATAAGATTTTTCTGTCATCCATATTAATTCATAAAAAAAGTTGGGATCAACCACTTAGAGACATTGACCGACCAATGTGAGAAGTATTCCTCCAATTAAAGAGACATAGGTCAGTGTGGCAGCCGTTGAGTCTGAATGTCCTTCTCTTTGTTGGTTTACATTAGAACTGTAATGTTTTATTTTTTGTGTCTTTCCTTACGTCTGCCTGTGGTGGTGCTTTGCTAAGCAGCATTTACCGTCTGTAGCTCCAGATGGTTGCAACCAGCTATGTTGATTTAATTCCATCCATTGGCTGACTTTGGTTAAGAGACAGATGGTTCCTCCTCTCTTTTCTTACCTTTACCTCATTTTCCTATCATTTTACTTTGCCCCATGCAAAAATCCCAGACCCAAGTGTTTGCCAGTTTAGCTGGATTCATTCAAATATGTTTCAGCTTTACCTTTGGTACCATTGCTTAATGTAGGATTTTCTCCATACAGAGTGCTTTCGAGCCTGATTTTCATGCTACATATGTTTTGATGTCCCAATTGGTCTTAATACATTCTTAGTGACCCACTGCAATACAACATGACTTCAAGGAAGTCAAAGGAGTTGGGAAACTTTGCTTTATTTCCCGATTGTTCAACTGTTCATATTTTGGCAGATAAGTGTCAACAGGTGTGTAAAGAGCTCTGTGATGCCAATACCAATACTGGCACAGAGGAGAGACTTCTTGAAGAGCACTTTATACTTTCAGTATTTTGCAGGCTGTCCATCATAACCTATTTTTTTCCTGGGGCCTACGCACAAGTTGAAGGGTCCAAACTTCTTTTGAGCACCAAAAGCCATCATAACAGATGGGAAAGTGTGTTGGAAACTAAGGAACTATGTACTGTATGTGCGCTGAAGGAACAATTTACCAGTCTACATCATCCAAACGTCTGTCTTCCTTAAGCATACATGTCTGTGGTTAGGACGAGGTGCCACCGGTAATCTGTAACCTAAATTTTAATTTCCCAAAGCCAGAGGCATATGAAGTGAATTATGCTCATCCCATCCACATCCACTGATAATTTGCTGACCTTGAAACACCCTTGCCCCCATAAACCCCACATTCCTTGTTCCCACTCCTTAGTCCCCAAAAACCATCCCTCACCCAGCACAATTGGACACGTTCCCATTGAATTCATTGAGAGCTGCACCTGCTTGCTGTAGGGCTAAATTTGGTCTAATCTATTCTGCATGGAGATCCTGTAATCTCTCCTGAAACTTACCAGTGAAAGATTCCTGGACCTGTTGTCAGTTTTTCTGTAGCAAGTGATAGCCCTTTTATCCCTACAGGACTGTGAACATAGTTTGAACTGAACTCAAATTACAAAGAAAACAGTGTAGGTTCAAAGTATTTAGTTCTATGTTTTCTTTCCAACATTCAGGGTTTTATTAAGTTAAGCGAACACTAATATTTCTATATTGTGTTTATTTTAGATAGACTGCATTTTCAGGAAGGGAGAATACAAATTTAAAAAGCAAGCAGACCTTAAGAGGTTCATAATGTAGACATAGCTTCAATGGAAGCATAACCTACTTCTGTGAAATCTCCATGGCTGACAATGCAGTGTTCAGAACACTCTGAATCAGGGGCAGGACTGTTAAATAGTAGAGAAAGAAAATGGAGCTAAATTAATGGTGAGCAAACCTCAAAAAATTTAGCAGTTCCAGCCTTCCAGTACTTATTGCTTTCAGTTAGGATGAAAATATTATGAGAAAAGCCTTTCAGTCTTTCTACTTTCATAGTCTTGGAGAGAAAGAGAAAATGCAGAGGTGGGTCAAAATAAAAAATGGTATAGAAAGAAGTTATCAGCTTTTTTGAACTTCAAAAGAAGTTAAAAGGTTTTGTACAAGCTTTGGCTAAAGGTTTAGGCTAGTATTTATTTTATTCAAACTCATTCTTCCATCCTCAGGTAAGAGGGGTGGAGGGAGAATGAATGCTCACTCTTTGGGCATCTAATAAGTTGTCTCTTTGACAAGAGCCAAGATGAGTTTCATATGGACAAGTGAGAAGGATGTTGGAAACCTATTTTTTTCTTTTGGACCTCTGTGCATAAATTCTGTGAATAACACTTCAAGGGTTAGATTTATTTCTTGGTTAAAGTGTTTGGTTGCAAAATGGGACATAAGAAGTGATGGCCTTCTCTTCAAGGGTGAATTTCACCCCATATGAACAGAGCCCTAATACTCTTTATGTTGATATATGCTGTATCTTGTGAGATTTCACATTGTTTTCTATGCTGTTAGCGGTAAAACATTATTAATATACCACATCTACTACTAAAATATAGTACTCAATTGTAACTTGGCCCCAAGTATATAACTAAAAAAGTTATTTCTCCAATCTAAATGTCAAACACAGAAAAGAAAAATTGTAACTTTTGAGAATGTAAAGAATACTCTCAACCACACTGAAAAAAAGGAAGACTGGGTTTATGACCAATAATGTCTGTCTGCCTCTTTGTAGATCTTTAGGTAGATGTAGAGCTATGGATAACTAAAATGAAAAAAGGCAGTGAAATCAGATAATTGACCATAAGCATTTTTTAAATTGTCTTTTCTTTCCCTTCTTTCAGTTTGTTGTGACAATGTTTTGGAGCCTCTATATCTATGACAGAGAAGTGGTTTACCCAAAGCTTCTTGATAATTTTATACCCTCTTGGCTGAATCATGGAATGGTGAGTATAGTAACACATGCACTGTCTTATGTAACCAAAGCTGTTAAGAGACTGGTTTCACCATGTAATGGTTCATGCATGTCTTGTACTAATGTCTGTAAAATTCTGATGAAAGAGCACATGATAATTAAGGGAGAAAGCTGAGCAAATGTAAAATCTGTACATACTTTAGTCCCTTATTCTAGACTCGGAATAGACTTCTGCATATGCCTGGAACCTCCACACAAAAGTCAGCGAGCCTGGAGCCCAGAACTGGTATAAGTCAGCATAGTTTATGGCGCTATGCAGATTTACACTAGCTGAGAATATTACCCTTACTGGTCAAAGCGTATGATTATTAGGCCTATTGAAGGAATCAATATGATTATATCACTGTAATTTGTGATGAAACCTGTTTTAACAATATGCTGGAAAGTGAGAGAAGCTTGTTCAAGAAATTAAATTAATTTCCGTGGGCCATACGGTACCCTTGTGTATGGTTAAAAAACTAACAAAAGTGCTAGCTGCCTAAGTATGCCAAAACTGTGTAGCAGAACCTACGTTAGATTATCCTTTTGAAAATGTGGACGCGTGTGTGGTTTTTAAAAAATGCTATTGGAGAAAAAATGGTGTAACTGCCACAGTACAAGGGGCATATCTTTGTTCCACCCCCTTTGCAAGAGGCAATGATATGCCTCTGAAACAGTAGGATATTCTTGCTAGCCTTCAACTAATGTGGCATTTTGTGGATGAGGTAAAGCATTTGATTAAGAGCCCACTTTGTTACCAGGCACTTACTGCAGTACATGCAATAGTGAGCTCACAGATTTCATGCTTGTTTCACACATCTTGTCTGACTGGACCTGTGTGAGATATTTTATTATACCTTTCTGTTGGCATCAGGGCATGGCAAACCATTTGGCACTGTTAATCTGTAGCTACAGCAGAGGCCATCCTTCAAGGGCTGTGCACCACATGGCCAGAGCAGATCAGAACTGCTCACAAATGTCGATCTTGATGAATTGTTTCACGTTCCAGGGGTGTACGCAAACTGGCTGTGTAGTTATTTATTGTTTCCCTAACCTGTGGGTATAGGAAGCAGCCTGGGAATCACTACTGCTAAACAGAGCTGTAACTTCTGCCAGATACTTTGCCATGTTATATGCCAGTTTTAGAGGGAATAATACGATGTAACATGCTCTCTTGCTGGTGGATCTTCCCATGTCTGTTCAGACCGCCCCCTGTCAGTTCTGAGGTCATCCACTAAGCACTCACAAAGGCTGCCAAGCTGTACATACATTCCTATTTTCCACACAGCATCATGCAAACTCTGAGGACATTCGTCCCAGGTGACATTCTGCATACTGAAAATGCCTCACTTGTGACATTTTTTCATAGACCTCCATTGTGAAGCACATGATAATGTGTGGCCCTGTGTATTCAGGAAGTCTCATCATCGAGACCACAAACCTAAAGGGCAATTCAAGCCCATGTTGTTCTGAAGAAATGTAGATTTGCTGAAACATTTGAAGAGGGGTTTTGTTTAAAATCTTTGCACATTGTAGCATTTGCTGAAATGAACTGCGTGCAAATGTCTGGGACATTTTTTATTTTCAACTTTAAGTATTGTAGAAGGCAGTTTTGAATGTCTTTTGAAGGAATTGTTTGCCTTGTCAGTCTCTATTTATCCAAGCATTACTTTGGCTGGGTCACAAGGGAGGCTTCTGGCTGTTGGGCTTTTCACCATCTTTTAATCTAATTTTATCTGATGTTTTACCCATCATATTATCTTCACCAGCTTTCATTCTAATTCATTCTGATGAATTGCCTATCAGAATATGAGATTTGGGGGATTTTCCTCTGGAGAGAAATATTTTCTGCTCTTAAAGTATATTAAGTATATTTCTCCTCAGTGTATTAGCACTTTATTTATGAGCAGGGCTATTGTTTTGACATGGGAGGTTTTAGGAAGTGTCATGAATTTGTTTTTGGTGAAAAGAGCAAAAGTCATGGCGATACAGTTTAGAAAAGTCAAAAGTTACAGGCATTATTTTGTTCCCAAATTAAAGTTTATTCTCCCAATTTTTACTACATTTTGATAACTTTTGAAGACAAGAGTTGCTTTATTGGAACCATGCTTTATAAACCAAAGCCTACATAGAAGACTTACAACCCCAAAAGAATTAAATGTGTTGGTGAAAGTCCAATAGCGAGCAGTTGATGAGTTCATGCTCTCTATTGGCTTCTCATTCAGCCCAGTGTTCACAGCACTCAATGCTTAACAGCTGCCTCAAATGTTAAGAACTACAGCGGGTTGGGAAATACTATGAAACTAAGCCATTTGCCATTTGGGGGAGAGGTTTTGACTTAAAATGAGAAAGCTTCAATCAAAATGAAAATTTTCCACATACACGAAAAATTGTTTGGGTTGAAAAGCCATTTTTGTTGTTGTTTTGACAACAATATTCTGACTACTCTACTTAACTCCCTGTTAACATCCTGTCAATCCACCCTTCAACTTGCAAAAATTCCTTAGTGGGAAAAGTTATGGATATGGTTGTTTTTAATTAAAACAGGAGCAATCATGACATCTATGGTTACCTTGGTAACCACACAGGGAATCAACCGTGATTCATTATGATCAGTAGTAGTATGGGCATACATCCAAATATTTCAGGATATTCTTATTTTAGATCCTAATTGGAGGAAGCTGGGGGTTCTTCTTTGGTTTAGCCCTACAGAGTGCTCCTTCTTATGCTAGTCCTACCTGCGGTTTTTAGGCCAGCCAGAAATAACTACATATAGAGCAGCTGAAGGAGGGCCTGTTGATGCCTCCTGACAACAATAAAATGCATCTATAATTTATTATGGAGCGGTGGTAGTGGAGCTAAGATGAGGTTGGTGCTTTCATCTTATTATAAGCCTAATTTTTCTTTCTCTTTGTATCTTCCCCAAAAATGAACTTATCCCCCTGACATTTTTTGGGCAGCCTCTCATTCCAGAGTAGAGTTGTTGTTGTTTTTTTTTCTGGGAATATTACCAGATATCAGAATAGGAATAGTGTTTTGCAAATGTACCCATCTTTCAAATTGTAAACGTTTTCCTGACTGGCTTGGCCTACAGACTCTCCATTTGTTTTGTTTCCCTTTGTCTTGCTGAGACTGTTAGGGCTTTTTTGGGATGGGGGTAAGGGGTGAATGGGGGTGAGAAGTGACTAGCCCAATGGGGAAGAATTAAAAAAATATGTAACAAATAGCTTCATAATAAAATAAACCACACAGCAGGATAGGCAGAAAAAGGGTTAAGTAAGAGCCCATTAAAGCAGGGATAGAAGTTGAAACCTTGGGGAAGACCTTGAGAGGAAGGAGGAGTGTTTCCCTGCCCAAGTCCAGGCCAGATGAACTGGAATCTGATGGTATTGCTCAGTGGTGCTGGAACAGTTTTATAGTGAGGATGCTGAAGGTGGAAACCATGTATTTGGGTTGTTATTACCACTTCAAACTGGGGGTGCAGTAGCACCCCCAGCAACCCAAGTTCCAGCACTGATGGTATTGCTATACTGCTTAAAGAGACTTTGTGAGTGAGGGATAGTTTGCTCTTTCACTATCATTTGTTTTGCTCTTTTTCTGGAATTTTTTGAACTAGTCTGTGTCCTGACTCTGTGCACTGGATCAGGAAGAAATGCTCTGTGTAGATCTGTGTGGGCCTCAAAGTGTTAGGCTACAATATTTTGTTTCTCTCCTCCTTACCCCCCGCCCCATTGTCCTGTTATCTGCAACTACAACGTGGCTCAGCCATACAGAGCTATTTTCATTTGTATATAATGCAGTCTAGCTAACACTGTTTCTGAACAAAAATTCTTCACCCTTTAAAAAAAAAGTTAGACTTTCTAGAAATGAAGAAACAGCAAATAAATATCCCACTTTTAAAAAATAATCATCAGTCACTCACCCAAACTCATTGTTGTCCCTGAAATTTGCTGTGATCAAAGTAACAAATTACTAGAAGATTATAATATCGCCTATTCTATCAAGGGATTTACATTTCTCATTTACTATAACACATAACATATATAACACCTTTAGTCTCTTACAAAAAATCTAGATGTGTTAGATGGTACAGAATAAAATTAATACATATAAACTTGCAAGGCTATGCCCTGTATGCTTATATAAGTCCACAGCATCACACGCTGATTAACATCTGCTAATTCATCACTCATAGCAAATATTCTTCTATTCCACCAACACATCACATTATTAGAACTTATATAGAATTCAGAGATAATTTAATGTAACCTGGGACTGTATTTCTTTTAAAAAAATACAAACATCTAATAAACAATATATAAAATCATATACATCCAGCAGCATATTTCCATTGCAGAACAGAACAAGAGAACAAAGTTAAGTCTGGGTAGGCAGAAGTGAAGTGTAGTGATCGTGAATGATAAAGGATTTATATGGTAGTGGAGACCCTATTCGTTGTGTCCAAATGTTTGGGTTTAAAAAGATGAAGAATTTTTTAAAGGAAGTGTAACCAACTGTTGTTAGATATTAGCTAGACTCCAGTGAAACACACTTAACATTAACCTGTTTTTAACAATGTATTTTTAATAAAATTTGGTATTTTGGGACACTTTACACTTAAATATGATTCAAGGTAACTATATTTTTAAGAGAAGACAAGGTAAGTGAGATCTTTTATTGGACCAATTTCTGTTGATGGAACGGACAAATAAATTTTAAGAACAATTGAAAACAATGGCAATATGATGTTTCTTTAGTTAATTTTTAAAGCTGTACTAAACTGGCACTGTGAATTAAAACAGGAAAAAATAGTAACTGGACCAAGTTTGGTTGCCTAAAATAGCTCCGTTATCCATGCTATTTGGCATATTTAGTACAGTATTTGATTTGCTCATGCCTAAACAGTAATAATCGTTATATTGATGCTTACATCACATATACTATGGTAAAGAGGCCAGAGTACCTAGATTGTATACAGTATGTATGATTTTTGTTATACACAGAAATTTGTGTAAAACAAAGACCTAACTTGAAATAGTGATCTCACCGAAGTCAATGCCATTGAGTTTGGTGGGCCAGGATTTGACCTGTTTCATTTAGTGAAGTGAATGCCACCCCTAAATAACCCAGGTTGAGTATATAGTTGTGTAAACCACAGGCTACATCTTCATTTTATACCGAGCAGATTATCTGAGAACAATGTGATTACATCAAGCAATACCTGTTTTTAAATCGCTTATATCCTCTATTTATCAAATGTTTTGTAATTTTAGCAGACTGCACGACTGAACACAGCCTTGGTAGTTTGTTTAAATTAGTTCTAAAACTGAGTCCCTTCATCAGACAAGTTATTATTCAAGTCTTGGGTGTAGGGTCCTTCGCTCTGGATATACTTTCTATTTTTTCTCCTACATCACCAAAGATCCATATTGTTTTAAAAGTGCTTCAGCCTCATGACTCTTACTGTGTCATTGCTCAGTTCTGTGGGCCTACTTTCTAATAACTCGCTTTCAGATTTGATCTCCAGTGATCTTAAGTATTGTTAATTAAAAAATAAGCTTTAGTTATTTTAAACTGTTGTGGTGCTGGGTAAAATTTGCGTCATATTGTGGCTACATGTCAGCAGTGGATGAAGTGGCACATATATATTCTATATTTCTAGGACTTGTCTTCACTGCATACATTCTTAGCTTGAGTTTTAACTCTAGGTTTGTCCCTAACTCAACTCCCATACACACAAACATCTAGCTAGGTCAGAGATGGGCAAACTGTGGCCTGTGGGACCACCCTGCCCAGCCCCTTGCCCGGGAGACTAGCCTCCAGCCCCTCCCCCACTGTTCCCCCTTCCCCACAGCCTCAGCTCACTGTGCCTCCGGCGCATCACTCTGGGCAGCGAAGCAGCGAGCTCCTGGGGCAGCCCAGCTGCAGAGCCTGGCCTGACCTGGTGCTCTGTGCTGTACAGGGAAGAAATAGTTGCTCTGTGCTGCGCGGCGCGGCTGCCTGTCCTGGTGCAGCTGCGCTGCCAGCCACTGGTGCTCCAGGAAGCGCGGTAAGGAGGCAGGCAGCAGGGGGGCTTGAATAGAGGGCAGGGGAGTTTGGGGAGTGGTCAGGGGCTGGGGGTGTGGATAAGGGTCGGAGCAGTCAGAGGGCGGGGAACAGGGTGGTTGAATGGGGGCAGGGGTCCCGGGGGAGGGGCAGTCAGGAAGAAGGGGGGTTGGATGGGGCGGCGGGGGGCAGTCAGGGGCCAGGGAGAAGGGGTGGTTGGATGTGGTAGGGATCCTGGGGGGGCCATCAGGAAGGGCGGGGGTTGGATGAAGCAGCGGGGGGCAGTCAGGGGCAGGGGTTCCGGGGGCAGTCAAGGAGAAGGTGTGGTTGGATGGGGCAGGGGTCCTGGGGGGGCAGTCAGGAAGGAGAGGGGAGTTGGATGAGGTGGCGGGGGGCAGTTAGGGGCAGGCGGTCCGGGGTTGGTCAGGGGACAGACAGCAGGGGGTGGATGGGACAGGGGTCCCCAGGGGGCCATCAGGGAACAGGAGGGTTGGATGGGGCAGGAGTCCCGGGGGGTGGGGTGGGGGGGGCATGTCTGGCTGTCTGGGGAGGCACAGCCTCCCCTAACCAGCCCTCCATACAATTTCAGAAACCCGATGCGGCCCTCAGGCCAAAAAGTTTGCCTGCCCCTGAGCTAGGTCCTTTTAAACAAGAGCTGGCTGGCCTGGGAGGGACAGGAGGGGAAAAGCTTGAATGCTGCTGTAGCTTGAGCTGGTAGTGCAGTGGGGATGCAGCAGTTTAAGTTACAACTCCTCGTCAAATGCTAATCCAGTCACTCTGCTAATCCAATTACGCCATGTAGCTCCACTGCTATTTTGCAGTGTCCTTACTCTCATTCTGAAGTAATTCAAGTGATCTAACTCAAGCTCACCCTTACAGTGAAAACAAACTCTTAGGTCTGGTCTACGCTTTCAAATTAGACCAACCTAGTTATGCAACTGGACTGTGAAAAATTTCATGCCCTGTATGACATAGTTAGGTCAACCTAACTCCCAGTATAGAAACGACTAGGTCGATGGAAGAATTCTTGCTACTGCCTCTTGAAGGGTTGTGTTAATTACATTGACAGAAATACCACTTTCATTGAGGTAAGAATCTTCTACACTGTGGCATTATAACAGTACAACTATCAGCTATGCTGCTGTAGCATAGATATACCCTTAAACATTTGAGTTTCGTCCTACAGGTTCTAAGGAGATGTAAAGTGTCCTCAACTCTCATTGGCTTCATTTAGAGCTGACGACGCTCAGTACCTTGCAGTTTGCACCTACCACATGTACAACACACACTTTAATAGTAAGTATAATAATGCAATACTTTATACTTTGTGCTTACATAGCAACATGTGAGCAGGCCTGCATATAGAATTTGTCCAAGTTATCACATGGTTTCAACAAGAGTCCTTGTTTATTTCTAACTGAGAACATCCCAGATTCTTAAAATACTGTTTACATATATAATACACACACACACACACACACATTTTCTAGGAATCTGGGATGTTCTCAGTTACATGTGTGCGTGTGTATATATATTTGAATCAATTTAATTTGTGGCAGGGAAGATAACACAAAGTAGTAAAATTTACTGAAGTGTTTAGTGGGTTCAAAGATCAGAAATGATGAGCTATCTCAGGGATCGGCAACCTTTCAGAAGTGGTGTGCTAAGTCTTCATTTATTCACTCTAATTTAAGGTTTTGCGTGCCAGTAATACATTTTAACGTTTTTAGAAGGTCTCTTTCTATAAGTCTATAATATAGAACTAAACTATTGTTGTATGTAAAGTAAATAAGGTTTTTAAAATGTTTTAGAAGCTTCATTTAAAATTAAATTAAAATGCGGAGCCCCCCTGACCGGTGGCCAGGACCCGGGCAGTGTGAGTGCCACTGAAAATCAGCTCACGTGCCGCCTTTGACATGCATGCCATAGGTTGCCTACCCCTGAGCTATCTCAATATGAAAATACAGAAGAGAGAATCTTGTGGGAAATATGGGCTGCCTTTACGGTGCTGGAAAGTTGATTATTGTATGGATCATGTGCCAGTGTAGTTTATAATATGATATTTTCCTTTTTTATGCTTCTTATTCTTTGATGATGTTTACTGAAAACAAAAGGATTACTAGAAAGACCTCTTAGCTCCCTTTGGTTTAAGTGAAAGCATACATGCCAAAAAGGGACACGTAGGAGACATGGAAAAGAATTATGGAGCAGAGCATGTCCAAATGATACATTTCCAGCCTCTCTTACAGATTCTCTCTCCTCTTCATTATTGTCAGCTCAAATTAAAGATTCAGACAATTGAAGAGTGGGATGGATCCGGTGCTGTGATGTGTCCTGTTGTTACATTTTTTAACAAACACATCTTACAGATCTAGTGAATCTGGAGAAGCAGAGGACTAATGCCAGAAGAAAGCACTGATACTCAATTGTCTTTTTGATTCAAGAATGATTCAGGCCAATGCAGAAATAGGGAAGCCACATGAAAGATGTTTTTGATCAAAGCTCATAGTGACCTGGCCTATATAGATCAAGTAAAAGTTATTGACAAACCTACGATTCCTTAGTCACTCCATCAGGAGCTCAGAATCAAGCCAGTTGCTCAATGAGTCTCTGTGAGGAACAACTAAGAAAAAACCATGGGTTTTTTTTTCATCCATATTGTCTCTTACTAGCATGCTGCACCCAGTCCCTTTGCAGACAAGCTCTAATAGAAGACTGTGGACTAAAGTACATTTAACAATTCATACTGCTTCTTGTACAAGAACGCCCCATTTATGGGCCATTTAATTCAATACTCCAATAGCTGCTAACATCTGACAGGCTTGCTGGAAGTGAATTGTAATGTGGTCTCTCTGCTCGACTGATATCTAAATCCATGGTGAGCATCTCAAGGATCCTTCAGTTTAATTAAGCTCTCTTTTATTTTTATATATATATAATATGACCATCAGAGGCTGATTATAAAGATTCAGAAATGGGACCTTTAAATAATGTTTCAGAGTGTAGACACTTGACTATGACATTAATTGAAAGGTTTACTGATAGAAAGCACAGAAAGTGTACAATTTACTAATGAACCCTGTTTCACGTGGAATAAATATCCATTACTTGAACAGCTGTCTAAATGATGGAATACCAAATAAGTAGACATCATTGTGGGCCCAGGACATTTAACTAGAACACTGAAAATAACTTTCCTGGCTTTGAACACTTCTTGCATGGTTATGGTTATGCTACATCTTCTGATATATCTCTTCATTATCTGCCAGTTCCACAACTAGAACATGAATACAGTGATATCAATTATCCCCACACACTGGGAAGAAAAACAGCAATAACATAAAAACTTATCTTGGTTTTCTGTTACTTTTATGTGGAGTGCTTGGAAACTGGATGTATGTCAGAACTTGTGTCAGCATAGCATCCAGAAACTGAGAGGCTCCTGGATAAAAAATGCTGGATTATGAGAGTGACATCCCCTGACATTCTGAAAAAAGACCCTTTACCTAATACAAAAAAGCACAAGCCATTTTCTATAAAGTAGGATCTGTGCCTTAACAATACTATGCACCTGTCAAGTGAGATTACTCATTATAATGTAAGTCTGAGATAACACTCCTTGCTGGACATGTGTTGGATGCTCCTCATTATCAGTCATTTCCAGTTGGTGCATCTGTGGTCTATAGGAAACGCACACTGCCTTCTCCAAGACTTAAGTATAACAATGACAGGTCTCTGTGACAGAATGCACCCCTGTATTCACTCCCTACTAGGGATGTAAAATGTTAACCGGTTAACCGGTAAGCGTTAGGCTTACTAGTTAACTGACATTAACCGTTAACCCTCTGCTGCGCTGGCTGGACCCCAGCCCTGGTCCTGCCATGCTGGACCCTGGACCTGCTGGACAGACCCCGGCCACGACACACCATACCCCAGCCGTGCTGGCCAGACTCCAGCTGCGCCACGCTGGACCCCAGACCCTCAGCGCCGGACCCAGCCACACTGGCCAGACCTTGGACCTTGGCTGCGCCACGCCAGACCCCAGCTGTGCTGGCTGGCTGGCCAACTGGCCCCGGTGCCAACCAGCTGGTCAGCCAGCCAACCCCAGCCCCACGGCCAGCCAACCAGCCCCAAGAGCAACCCCAGCCCCTCTCCCTTTAATCGGTTAACCGTTTAAACGCTAGACAAGCTGACGCCTCTAGCCAGGTGTCACCAAAGCTGATGGGCAATCACATATCAAGTAACCATCCTTTGGCAAGGAAGGGGGGCAGGAACAAACAGATCTACATCTTAGCAAAACAACAGTATGTAGCCTCTTTCGCCAACAAACCCCTTGTCTCCATCCTTACAGTGGAAATGAACTTTATCTAGGTGTAACCCTCAGGAAAATGCATTTCACAGGGTGACTGAACTATAAAAGCGAGGGGCAAGAACACACCAAGTTCTCTCTCCCTATCCATCTCTCTCTCTCTTTCACCTAAGGCAACAAAAGAAACACCCGTTAGATTTTGGAAGCAGATCCTGACCTGGGAATTTGGTCAGCAATGTTACTGGGAACATGTAGTAAGGGACTTCACTTTGAACCAAGTCTAGTTAGTTATGTTTTAGTACTAGGAAGCATTTTATCTTTATTTCTCTTGTAATCATTTCTGACTTTAATGCCTTATACTAGTACTCACTTAAAACCTATCTCCTTGTAATTAAATAAACTAGTTTTATTCTTTAATCAAAACGAATCCAGTGTTTTGGTTCAACTGGGCTTTGGGGTATAAAATCATAGACTATCAGGGTTGGAAGGGACCTCAGGAGGTCATCTAGTCCAACCCCCAAATGGTAACTCCATTTACAGTAGCAGACTGGTGAATATTGATTCCCTTAGAGGGGCAATGGACCTAAAATCTCTGAACTGTCCAGGACACTGCAGAACACATATTTTGGGAAAATTTTGGACTGGGACTGTGTTCGGGTCACCCTGAAAGTGGTAACCAAGGCTGGTGAAAGCCAGAGTGTGACTGGAGTATGTATGCTGGCAGGCAACAGCTATACACAGACACTCAAGGTCTGACCTGCATGCTGTTCGGCTGTTTGTGAGAAGCCCAGATTGGCAACTACAGCAGCAAAGCATTGTGAGGCACCCCAGGTTGCACTGCAAGGGTGACACACTGCCTCACTGGTCTGGATTGCACCCTGGAATGTCATAATCTCTCATAAAATGCATTTGATTACTTAATGTCAGTTGAATGTTCCTAGATCTGATCCCTACTGAAAAGAAGTATTCTTACAAGTTAAAAGCCATATTAAGTTAGGTTTCAGAGTAGCAGCCGTGTTAGTCTGTATCCGCAAAAAGAAAAGGAGTACTTGTGGCACCTTAGAGACTATCAAATAAATTTGTCCCCAAGTCAAATCGTTTTTGTCAAGCCACCTATCACTGTCCACACGGGAACCTAACTCATATTCTGGCAGAAAATAGGGATGAAGGTAAGAAATGTGAACACCAAGGGAAAGAAAGGAAGAGAGAAGCAAAGAGAATAGAATGAGAGAGATGTCAGGGAGGAATAGCTGACTGTGATGGAAAGACAGGCAGGGGAGGTGAATCTGATCAGGGGATCAGGGACAGATCACAAAAAAAAGCAGATGTTGCTCCAGCGTGTGACAAAAAATAAATAAATGAAAGACAAGGAGAGGGAATGAAAATGGGAGCAGAAAACAGTGTAGACAACAGGAAGAGAGACAAAATGGTCAAAGAAGAACTGAGAGCGGGGAGAGAACTATAGAAGAAAAAAAGGAAAGAAGAGGGAAAGGAAAATGTTTCATTCATGTGTCTTACTTTGCATTGCATGCCCTCTGGGAAACATCCCACAGTTCTGTTAATTACAGGGATGGGGGAGGAAGTTGATGGTGTAATGATGCTGCTAGTGAGACTTAAGCCAACTTGCTGCTGTTACTGTTGGACATGTAAATATATTAACAGGGCAGATGTATTTAATATTTGCATGGTGACAAGTCAGTTTTCCCCCCTGAATTTCAAGTATTGGTAACATTTATCTTAATGTTAATACAAAGATCTGTGTCTGCATAAACTATATCTGTGTGGTATCGGTAGACTGGTGTCAGTATCTCTGTGTATCCGTCTCTTTTTGTCTGTATCTTTAATTAGCAGTGTGATACATTATCTCAGCTCCCTAGCTAACCCTCAGAATATCATGTCTTCTTAAAAGAAACCAGTTTAGAGTAAGACCTATTTGTGCATATTGGCTAAAACACATGGTTTGTGCTGCACATTGAAATAGTCAAAT